CTTTGAATTTGCTCCACTGGTGTCCTTGAGCCATTCCTCAAATAATTCCTGGTTTTTCTTCAAAACTAGAAATTGCCCCAGTACCACATAGGCCTGTGAGATAAAACAGAACATCATATCATTCCTCTCAAGTTTTAAATGCATAAGAAATCAAGAAAACATGCTTTTCATTCCATCCATAAAGAAGGGTGTTGGAAAAGCATTTTAATGGCATTTCCTTTTCTTCAAATCTTAGTGTGAAGTTTTGCATGTGCTGGAATGAAACTCATGTCTCCTAATTATGGAAAGTATGAGAACAAGTTGAATGAACCTTATCAAAGCCTTTGCCAGTTAGTCGCTTTCCAAGAACTTCTCCTATCCCTGCCAGATCAGTCACAAGCTTTTCACCCATGGGCTCTGAGATGAAGTTGCGATGCTTTTGGGATGTGGAAGACATGATGACTCAAATCTTGATGCACAAGAAGATCAGTGTGATATCAAATTGGTAGGTTGTGAGGCCTACAAGTTGCTGCTATCAAAGAAATTAAGATTCATAACACCTGCAAGGCAAAAAAAAAGTACTTTATTATCTTTATGAGTTTGTGTACCATTTTTCTGCTAGCATACTTTTATAAACCTTATAGGAACAGGTGGAACTTAGCAACTGGGCACTGAAACAAGCTCTGGATTAATTAATCATGGAATCAAGAGGGATCAGGTTGCCCTTTATTATGAATGTGGACTGATCAATGTGTGAAATTGTGCCTATTCACTTCTCTCTCTCCATGACCAAGCCCATCTGGACTTGGAAAAAGCAGTATGGTTATTGGAACAGGATTGAACAAAAACAGGAGTATATATATACATATTTGGATACTCCATACAAATACTCAAACTTGAAAATTATGCAAATAATGATGTGGAGTCATACATGATAAACTATAGCGATGGACAAATCTCCAAATTCGACATCACAGTTTAGTTAGAAGAATCACCTTCATTGACAAGCTGATTGCTTTTAGAACAGCAATTCAGTTGCAGTTTCAAATCAAACTTTGCTCTACTTGAAATTCCAGTGCTCATGTCAGCTACTCTCATGACATAATCTGATATGTAACTGCAACTGAACTGCATTTTTGAAATCAGTCACTGGCACATGCAACAAGTTTCTAATAGCTCATTGCTAATGAAACAGAGTGGCTGACAAGAAAATAAAAATATATAATGCCTGCCATTATTTGAAGAGAACTCACTTTCACCCAAGAATTTAAGGATTTATAAGCCATTCTCTATGCTGCACTCAGGGCAAAGCAACAGGCCGTGCAAGACACAAAGGCGATCTTATGGCCAGGCTCGAAGCTCAGAAGAAATTAGGAAAGTCTGGGGAGCTGCATCACCTGTGAATTACAAACCTTGATTGAGGATTATGCCTGGCCCAAGAATTGTGGTTAAATAGATATAGATAGCCGATAGATAACCTTAAATGAGGTTATCTATCGGCCTAATTCCCCCTACCGGAAAGTGCACTTCGCTATGAACGTGAAAAAAAAAACAAAGGGAGCAGCCTAGCTGTGAGCGACTAAGCAGTAGGTGGCTATGCTCCCACAAAAAATATCTATATCCAAGCGGGGTAGGTCTACTTTACGATACATGAACGTTCCACCTCGACATGGTATGTCATGATGGACGAGTATACCTCTTGACGCCACAATCCAAACCTTGAACCTTATAAATTAGCCTAATAGAAACCGAAACTGCCAGCTAAAGTCCTGAGCGAGTCAACTGGCAGTGAATCATAGGTCTAGTCTCGGATAATCGGCTGAAAGTTCAGAATAGAAGACATTTATCACCGTTGTTGGTCGATAAGGCAGATGTTCATTCTGTTAACTCTGATATCGCGCTTTTGACATGTGCCGACATGATGTGAACAGGGATGCCAGATATTGAATGCCTCCTCCCACCTGGGCCAGCACCACAATAGCTTGGATCAAAATAAATACACGCATCTGATTTTGTATAAGTTAGAGAAACATTAGGAATTTTTACGGGGAACATGAAAATAGGCGTTGTCAGCAGTTCCAGAGCATTTATGGAGTTGCCGTTCCTTCTGATCATGGCAGAATGGATGATACGAATGGCCGTTTCTAAGAGACACGTGGGTGTATGCAGCTAAGCGCTGGTACCGCGTTTGTTATGGTCCTTTCATTCGAGCGGCATGGTTTGCTTGAAGTGGCCATCCCAAACTGGATACAGGTTTCGAGCTGCACCCTTATTTTCCATGGCAATCGTAACAGACAGCTGTTTACAATGAATACTAAGTATCACCGCCTACTCTCCTGATGGTTTTGTAAATGTAAGTTGTTGAAGTATATTTTAAACATTTTAAAATTAAAAGCAAATAAGAAAGCTGACCTTAATCCGTGCCTTTTCTAGGGGCGCGCTAGGGTGGCACACACACACCCTTTTATTTCCACTCATAAAATTAGGTTTCTACTGAGCTCTCCTGGGGTCCTAGAGCCGAAATGTTTGATGTAAGAAAGTGCACATTTATTTGGCTCATAAATTTTTTGGCATGCTGTAGACTAGGCACCTTGGTTGCAACTTGGTTATATTAAATTTAACCTAGTCTTGGTTTGGAAACTGTCCTGGTTTTTCACATTGCAAAGACTAAATTTTTTTTTCATGTTCTAGTTTTTCCTGAAAAAATCTGGTCAGTATATTGTAGGTCTATTCTGCATCTTAGGTTAGTGGTCATGTGTCTTAACTGGATTTATTTGAAGACTCAAAGCAAAGGTGTTT